CAGTTGAACCTGTGGGCTCGGGACCATAGTCGCAGGGAACATCAAGCTCAATTGGCATAACATACTACACAAAACACTGTTCCACCTCCTAATTTGGCAAGTAGTGACTGGGATCTTAAAAGCTTGCAAGCTGCCATCTAGATGCAATGATGGTTCTCTCCTCATCCAGAGCAAAGAAGAATGAAGAAAACAAAAAATTCATGGATAAAATCAGTCCTAGTGACTGGTACACCATCCAATCTGCAGCCTATATGACTATGAGACCAGAAGAACTAGGTGGTGCCCAGGTACCAATGTCAACCACTTGGAAGGGAATCTATGTAGGAGATCCTGGAGAGAGAGGGAGAACAATGTGGAACAAAACTCAAAATCATTTGGAGAAAATAAAAAGGGGGGAGACCAGGTTTGCTGGTCAGATAGAGCCTGGTGGAACCACTGAGACTATGGCCCTTAGCTGCCCTTCATGTCTGGAATTGGACCCACACATGTGGCTTCCAGCCAAGCAAAAGATACGCATATGAGTTGAACATTTACCTGAGGTAGATACACTGCTTGGTGAGAACAATCATGGAGAGAACTTTGGGAGAGAACAGGAAGACAGATCAGGGGGCAGGAGGGCATGGAGGGATGGACACAGGGAAGAGGTAATTATCGGGAGGAAGTGGGAGGGGAGCGGTTGCATTGTGGTAAATTGTGGTCAATGCCATGAGACAAAGTGTATGTGAATTGTTTTATGGAAAGTGAATTTGCTCTGTAAATTTTCACCCAAATGACAATTAAAAAAAAAAAAAAAAAAGAAAGGCCAAGATTCCATGAAGAAATGACTGATTCTCTGTCAAAGGCAGTAAATATGCAAGATAAAGTTCATATATCTAGTTCAAGTTCATATATCTAGTTCTACCAAAAGCAAGAAACATATCAAAGATTATGTCAGAAAGATGTAGGAGACATAAAGAGATTGCCCTTGCCAAAGATGAAATATTTTTATTATCAGAAAGAATAATGACAACACCCAAAACCCAAAACAATCTTTAAAAAGAAGAACAAAGTAGGGGCTCACATCTTTATTTCAAAACATACTATAAATCTACAGTAATCCAAACAGTGTGGTACTGGAAAAGTATAGATATATAGACCAATGGAACAGAATTGAGAGTTGAGAAATAAACTCATACATTTACAGCTAACTGATTTTTACAAGGGCATCAAGTCCATTCAAAGAGTATAGAGAATAGTCTCTTCAACAAATGGTCCTGGGATAATTTGTATCTCTATGTAAGAAAGAATGAAGCTGGACCCATTCCTCATACTGTATATTCAAGTTAATTCAAAATACATCAACAACCTACGTATAAGAACTGAAAAACATAAAATTCTTAAAGTAAAACAGAACATTAATGATTCAGAATCCAGTTTTTGAGCTACCAGTTATTAGATATCACAACTAAAGTATGAACAACAAAATAAAATTTCATAAATTTGACATCATCAAAATTAAAAACTTCTGTAAATCAAAGGACTTTATTAAGAAAGTAAAGAGACAATCTGCAGAATGTGAAAAAATGTTTGAGAACCATACATTTGATAAAGGTTTAACATCTCAACTATATATAGAACTCTTACAACTCAACAAAAAGACAATACATCAAAAAATAGTCAAAGGACTTGACCAAATATTTCTCCAAAGATATACAAATGGCCGATAAAAGCATGAAAAGATATTTAAGGTACTTAGTTAATAGGAAAATGAAAATCAAAACCATAATGAGATATCACTTCATAACCACTAAGATGGCTAGTATCAGAAAAAATGAAAAATAACAAGTGTAGGTAAGGATGTTGGAAAAATTGGAACTTTTATACGTTGCTAGTGGATATGTAAAATATTACAGCAACTGTGGAAAGAGTTTGGTCGTCTCTCAAAAATTTAAACATAGATACTCCTGTTTATATAAGAAAAAACCAGTAACCCTGGTCACGCTGACAGTGACCTTCATTACACTTACCTCAGCTAGTTACAGTTATGGTGGTGATGGTGACAGTGACTGTGACCTTATGTTCTGGCCTCCTAGTGCTGCTCTGACAAGAATATACCATAAATGAGATGGCCTTACCAAACAGCAGTGTATTCTTACAATTTGGAAGTTTTAAGACACAGGTATTATAGAAGAGTACCAACTAATAAATGCTAAATGTAGGGTAGAAATGGCATACCACTACTTTGTGATCACTATTAAATACTATTCTAGGCAGTGACCACCCATGGTCACCAGTAAGTAAAATGAGGAACTCTAGAATGTAGTGTTTCTCAAACTTCTGTGTGCATATGAATCACCTGAGTATATTGTTAAACTCCAGAATTAGGTTAAGTTTGAGATGGAGCTTGAGAGTCTACGTTTATAAGAAGCCATCAGGTGACATCAATATTGCTGATAATAGGAGGGCCATTCTAAGAAAAAGAAAAGCAGCCCCTGACATTTGGTGTTCTGCTATTGAACACAAACAATTTCGTGGAAGATAAACTTAAGACAAAGTCCGATTGTGACCATGATGATTTAAAACAATAACAAGACTACTGTGTAATCATGTCTAAACATAAATAATGAACATTGTCCAAACCACAAAATTGACCAAATAACCCTCTCTTCCAGCTAATAAAAATGACCACTGCTCCCTTACTAACCATGAATTTAGGCTCCATCTAGTCTTCTTCTAGGTAAGATTTACTAGTATGGCCAATAAAAGAACCCTGGTGGGCAATAGGGAGCTCTGGTAGCACAGTGCCTAAGGCATTTGACTGCTAACCAGAAGGCTGGCGGTTGAAACCCACCAGCCAATCCTCAGAAGGAAGATGGGTCAATCTACTTCCATAGTGATACCACCATGGAAATCCAAGGAGGGGTCGCTATGACTTGGATCCGACTCAATGGCAGTGAGTTTGGTTTGGTTGGTTTTGATAGGCAATGGTTAAGTGCTCAGCTGGCAACCAAAATCTTGGCAGTTCAAACCCACCCAGCTGCTCTCCAAGAAAAACATTGGTGATCTGCTTCTGCAAAAATTATAACCAAGAAAACTATGGGGTAATTCTACTCCATCACATGGGGTTCTATGAGTTAGCATCGACTCAACAGTACCCAATAACAACACTGAGATGCCCAATTGTGGAATTACCTCTACTTCTGGATAGTGTCTAATCTGGAGTATAACCTTTATTCTGAATCCAAACCAAACCAGACTGACTGCTGTCAAGTTTCAACTCATAGCGACCCCTCCTTGGGTTTCTGAGGAAGTATCACTACGGAAGTAGATTGCCCAACCTTTGTTTTGAGGAGTGGCTGGTGGATTTGAACCACCAGACTTCTGGTTAGCAGTCAAATGCCTTAGGCACTATGCCACTCGATTCCCTAAGCTCTCCCTAAAATCACTAAACACAAGCCAAACCCTATATTAAGTTCTAATACTCTCTCACTGTGATATCCCATGGTCCCCACAGGGTGAATTCTCCATCTCTGCAACATGTCATTAAGTCCACCTTGTTCAACTGCAAGTGTGTTCTGGTTGTTTTTGCTGAAATAGCAGTTCAATAATGTGATGGATAGGTGAGCAAATGAATCACTGCTCACCAAGAATCAACCTGTCTCTGGTAGTGCAAATGGTTAACAGCTTGCCTGCTAACCAAAAGGTTCAAGTCCACCCAAAGCACACTGGAAGAAAAGGCTGACAATCTATGTCTGAAAAATGAGTCACTGAGAACCCCATGGAGCATAATTCTACTTTGATATATATATGGGGTTGCCATGAGTTGGAATTGATAACAACTGATAAGAGTCAATCAGACATTGTGCTCCCTGATGTGATGCAATAGAAGGTCTATGACACCACTTTTAAACTTGCCAAAGCAATGAAAATTTAGTCTGATTAAGATCTAACCACCAGTTTACAAGAAATACAGGGCATAGGAGAATATATTAAAGAGCCACATTTAATTCAACCACAAGACAAATTAGCTCTTTTTTTTTTTCAACAAATAAATGGAAAGAAAAATAGAAAAAAAATGGGTAAAAGAGACTCAACAGATGTATCGATCAATTGTAATGTGAAGCTCTTGTTTGGATCCTTATCTGTGCAAGCTATAATACAATACAAATATAATACAAATTGATAATGATAACCATAAGGATATAGATAAAGATCAGAATATGGATAATGATAATACTAAGATAATTTGGGAAATTGAGTAGATCTTTGAAAATATTAAAGATGTATCATTAATATTTCTATGTTTTATGATGACAATGGTCATTTTTCAAAGTATTTGCAAATAAAATGATATCTGAAATTTGCTTTAACATAAACCTGAGATGGGGAGTAGGAGAGGTATAAACCAAAAAAACAAACCAAACTCACTGCCATTGAGTCAGATCTGACTCATAATGCCCCTCCTTGGGTTTCTGAGGTGGCATCACTATGGAAGTAGATTGCCCAACCTTCCTTCTGAGGAGTGGCTGTGGGTTTGAACCACCAGCCTTCTGTCTTGCAGTCAAGTGCCTTAGGCATCATGCCACCAGAGCTATAGATAATATTTTTGGCAGTAGATGGGAGTTCATTTTACTATTCTCCCAACGTCTGCACATATGCATATGTTCCATACCAAATGATTTTTTAAAATCTTCTTTGTTCACCATTTAATTCAATAGATCATTTTTGAAAGGAGGTAAAATATGGAGAAAAGGTAAGAAGTATAGCGTAAAAGAGTTATATATTCTAGAGAATAAACTATAAAGACTTTAAAACTCTTTCCCACAACTGAAATTGCTTTCGGATGCAAAGCTTGAGAAAATATTCACCTATTTCATTCATTGATAATCACTAACAGATGTGTCAACTGCAAGTCAAAAAGCATAAGGAATTATTATGTAGAGTCAAGTGATGATCGTTAGTGAAAAATTCAATTGAACTGTTTGATACCTGAGAAGAAAATATATTATTTGAACAATTACCTGGATCTGTAGCAGACATCAGTGAACCAAAAAACAAGCAGTCAGTGAAATGAAAGTCTCCGTTTTTCAGCTGTCCAGCATATATCATAGCCTTCACAAAACCATACATAATTAACCTGTGGAAGAGAGTAATAAGGTCTTTAAACATCAAGGTGAATGCTGTGTATACCCATGCTCTGGTAACTAACATGCTCAGGTGCATCCTGAATAAGCACCATGCACAAATAAATTACCACCATCCTGCCAATTTACCACCATTCTAGCTCTCAGTACACTATGTTTCAAACTTTTGATTATTAAGGAAGACACTTTTACCAAATATAACTTGGCAAAAGGTCATAGAACACTTGATAGCATATTTCAATGAAAATAAGGTAAGCCTCAAGAATATAAAAACAAAAATCTGTCAAGTGTGGCAAAGCTGAGCGTGTTCACAAATACCGCAACTATGTTGACATCTGTAAATGGATTGGCTTTCAGTTTCTGTTGTTTTGCCTGCTGGGGTGTCTGAAAGGATTCAAATTTCTAGTCTGTCACTGTGGTGAGAAGGATATTGGCCACTCACAGGGCACTCAGTCAACCAGTCACTAAACAAAAGATGAGTTTGTACTACTGCTGGTATCAGGAGACATCCACACTGGGTAGAGAATTACCCTTAGGTTATGAAACATGTACCTTCACACTCTGTTGAAAATGAATTTTGAAACAGTTACATTTTGATCTTGCAAGAAAAGCTGTTCTTTTCATGAATATTATAAAAGGTTTCTAACCTTACTATCCCACATCATGGAACACAACATGTTTGCTTTTGTGATGATTTGTCACCTTATAACTTTTAAATTGTATTTAATCATTTAATTGATTACTTTTGTTAAAATCCTAGGATATGTAGAGATTGGTGAACTAGACCACAATATAAGCACTCTGTAATTGTGACTATTTTTCACCAGTTGTCATAGAGTTAGATTCTCACCCATGATGACCCCACATGTGCACAGGAATTTCAAGGCTGTGACCTATTGGAAGCAAATTGGTGGCATTTCTTCTGAGATGCTGCTGGGTGGGTTCAAATTGTCAACCTTTGTTTACTAGTCCAGAAATCAACAGTTTGAGCCACCCAGGGACTTCGTTTGTGACTATAGTGTTGTTGTTGTTAGGTGCCATTGAGTTGGCTCTGACTCATAGCAACCCTGTGTACAACAGAATGAAACATAGTCCCACCCTGCACCAGCCTCACAATCCTAGCTACACCTGAGCCTATAGTTGCAGCCACTGTGTCAATCCATCTCATTGAGGGCCTTCCCCTTCTTCAGTGATCCTCCACTTTACCAAACATGACATCCTTCTCCAGAGAATGGTTCCTTCTGACAACATAACCAAAGCATGTGAGATGAAATCTGCCCATTCTCGCTTCCAAGGAGCATTCTGGCTGCACTTCTTTGGGACAGATCTGTTAGTTTTTCCAGCAGTTCATGGTACTTTCAGCATTCTTCACCAACACCATAACTCAAAAGCATCAACTCTCCTTAGGTCTTCCTTATTCACTGTCCAGCTTTCACATGCATACGAAGTGACAGAAAACACCGTTGCTTGAGTTAGGCACACCTTAGTCTTCAGACAGACATCTTTGCTCTTCAGCACTTGAAAGAGGTCTTTTGCAGCAGATTTGCCCAGTGTAATACATCATCTGATTTCTTGACTCTTGTTTCCATTGGTGTTGATTGTGGATCCAAATAAAATGAAATCTTTGACAATTTCAAACTTTTCTCCATTTATTATGGTCCAGTTGTGAGGATTTTAATTTTCTTTATGTTGAAGTATAATCCATACTGCAGACTGCAGTCTTTAATCTTCATCAGTAAGTGCTTCAAGTCATCTTTACTTTCAGCAAGCAAGGTTGTGTGGTCTGCATATTGTAGGTTGTTAATGAGTCTTCCTCCAATACTTATTCTATGTTCCTCTTCACAAAGTCCAGCTTCTCAGATTATTTGCTCAACATATATATAAAACAAGTATGGTGAGAGAATACAACGTTGACACACTCCTTTTCTGATTTTAAACCACATAAGTGTCATTAAAAATTATAGGACTCATTCATGGCAGGCTTATCCACATTTATCCAGGGAAGGACACTCTGTCTGGTGTCTAGGTGTTCAGTCTCTTGGCAGGTATAGGGTAGCTGCATTCAGCTTTATTCATTCATTCAAAAGTTACTTATTATTGAGCCCCTACTACGTGTCAGGTTCTGTGCTAGGTGCTTAATGTACACCAGTGAACAAAACAAACATTTCTACCTTCACAAAGTATGCATTGTAACAGGAAACACAGCAATATAAAATATCACAAATTTGAATTATACCCACTATCCACATCACTCTCTGAATTAGAATCTTCAGGTTTAAGCAACACTGGGAGGTTCAGGACCAGAAGTGGTCTTCAGCACTTTCCTGGATAGTTAGCCTGTAGGCCTCTCCCAATGTTGAACAACCTATCCAGAGTCCTTTCTCATTTGAAATACATTTCATTTACTTCACATCAACAGGTTCTGTGATAGATATAAACGTTATGATCTATGACTATATTTTTCTAAATTCCATATCTGTTAGTTAACTTTACAGGTTAGAATCTGAGTCTCAGAAAATTAAAATGCTCCATATTGAGTAGAAGCCACTCAATTGGGCAATATAAAAAAATTATATATATATATATATGTATATATATGTGTGTATATATATGTGTGTATATATATATGAGTATATATATAT